TGTATTCTCACATGGCAGGGGCTTATGGCCGTCGTGACAAACGTTTTCACCCTTTTACGGTCAGGGGCATCAGGTGGAGAAAAACCCACAAAATCTCAGTATTTAAGTTTCACACCTTTCTCCTTTATCTGCTCTTGCCTTCCACTGATTGCACCTGTCTCTGAAAATCAAGGATCCGAACACAGTCGATGTTTTTGTTCTGATGAAAACGCATGATAAGGACAGCTGGTCCAAGTCTCCTCAGGCCTGCTTCCATCACACCAGCCGCCTCGCTGCTGGCGGGGACCCCGTCTCCACTGGCCTTCCCCTCCCAAAGGCCTCTGCAGCCTTCCCTGACTGACTGCCCGAGCAACAGCGTACGTAATTTTGAAGGAATTTTAAAAGCTTAAATCTGAAATCTGCCATCTCATTTGTACAGTGAAAGACACACAAACTTGTCTGTAAACACAAAAATGCGCCCAGGTGGGCATTAGGCATCCCTCGAGGCAGCCAAAACACTAGTTGTCATGGTAATTTTGTCATGCTTGGTGACTTAGTTGTACAACTCAGCTTTTGCTTCACGATCTCTCTGATCATCTGTCACTGTCACTTTATGGTGTCAGTAGACATAAACCTTCTAAGCCAATATGCTTGAAAAAATCAACGAGTTTCAGTAAAACTGTGGAGTTTTGAAGCTTGTAACTTCTCATCAGACTAATGTGCTATTTCAAGAGAATCTTACCGAGAGTTAATTTTCAAGCAGCATTTTAAAAATAGACCTTTGTATTCATTATATTTAATGCAAACAATGAGCCTCTCCTTGATAGCTGGACATCTCCTGTAGCTTTTCTTTCTGTTTTTCTTCTGTCGTTGGTTCCCTTTTTTCCACACCTGAATAATATAATAGCTGGTGTTTGGGGCTTTGCTGTATCTTTTATGTTTCTCCATTCTACCGGGCTCACATCTTGCTTTTCATCCTGTTTTCAAATGAGTTTGCTATTTCTTTTTTTTTCTTTTTTTGTTTTTATTTACAGTTAATTAAATGCTCAGGCTTAGCTTTTGCTTTGTTGTCTTTCTTAAAATGATTTATTTAGGACTCTCTGCTTATTTTTAGACAGTTTTCTGTGCTGTTGAGTGATGTGGAAATACATAATGTGATTTTGTTTTATCCAAGCAGAGCTTATTCCTGTTGAAAGTAATAAGTAGGAAAACACTTGCATCAATCTGTTTCTCACTGGCATTTGATAAAAAGGTCATTGCTTCCATTTGGGGGAATCTTAAAAGGTCTTAATCTTAAGTATGCATTTCTTTGCTCCTAATCATAATTCTGTCCTGGATTCCTCATTATTGTAGACAAGTGTATGAGAAGCTGTAGGTATTGTGCTGTTTCTTGTTTCCTGTTTGAAGTGGTTCTCTCACCCTCACCATGATGGTGGGAATAGATGTGATGATACAGGTACAGCAATAAGTCTGGAACAGACACGTTCTTACCAAGCAAGATGTAATACGGTAACCTTGCAATTAATGGTGAACACCACGTGGGATTTCTGGGCTGGAGCCTTGAATTGATCTTTGCACGGTCTTGGGGGGTGAGCAGTAGGACATTGCTTCAACCAGGCTTCTCTTTGGGTCCCATTTCTTGACTTATTCCCTTCAAAAATGTTTCTCACATTTTGTTTTATTTGCCGACCCATGGGTCATACAATTGTGAGATGAAGATTGGCGTAACAGTGAAAGTGGTGAGATGTGACTCTAAATGTAGTTTTGCAGGCTATTTTATATCCTTGGTGAAATATTTTAGTTAGAGACAACCTCCTTTTATCAGCAGTTAGCTTGCAGACATGCTGAACTCCTGTGAACCTCCTTTTACCTTGAGCCTCCTTGCTTTTGGGTCTTTATTAGTACCCAAAACTAGTTACAAAGATAGCGGAAATAAAAAATCACCTGAAGGATGAAGAAGCCATGAGTGACAAACACAACTGTTTTTTGCAGAAAAGTTCAGAAACTGCAAAATGTATTCACAGAAAGTTCAGGGTCCTTGAACTTTTTTTTTTTCTTTTTTTCCCCTTAGCCCGTTTCTGGTTCTTCTACTCTGATTGAACTCAAGTCAGTGCATCTAAGGTTTAGCAGAAGAAAGTTTAAAATTCCTAGGTTAGGAGGTGATTTCAGGCATGCAGAGGTGGCTAGCAGAAAGGAGGGAGTGGAGTTGCTTTTAGGCATGTACCAAATTTATAGTATGTGGAAGAACCTAAGATGGGCATTAAAAATCACTTGCTATTTGAAATCTTCGAGAGTGGTTTTAAAATTACGGTAATCTTTGTTAGATGTTCATTTTATAGTTAATACATACATGCATTTGATACATGTAAACAAAACCAAAATTTTAAAAACCTGTAATATTTTCAGTAACTCCACATGGCTGGGTCAGGCAGAGGAAGAGGACGTGCTGCCTTTACCTTCAACATTGAGGCTATTGGCTTTACTAAAGGTGCAGCTCTGCCTGATGTTGCGTGTACCCCTCCACCACCATTTCCTGTAAGTACAGCATCTTAGAGCACGCTTTCTGTGTTCAGGTAAAGCGTATTCAATGTCTTCTTTAGATAATGTAATGAAATACATGAGCAATACTAACCACTTCAAGACAGTTCCAAAGTATTTTATGTGAATAATTGCTTTTCTTTTAATTACTTCCTGTCCCTTTGCTAACTGTTGTATCCCGTATCTAACTAGATTGCTTGCAAGATGTTTGTTCGTTAAAGCCCTCATCATGATTTGGTTTTCCAGGCATTACAGTAACGGAAATGCTGGGTATCTGAATTTGTTTGAAATGAAGTTACACTTGTCTTTGAAGCTGTGAATGGGTTTGCTGATTTTAGAAATTTACTGTTGATGCAAACAGAAAACATTTTGCAAGATTGTTTTATACCTCAGTAGCTGGAATTTGAAAATACTTTGAAAATAACTGAAAGATATTTTATGTAATTTAGGAACCTTAATTACATTTGGCATTTGGGATGTATTTGAAAATTAAAGGGGAAGAAAGAGCATTTTCTAACTTGAGTTTTGCTATGCAGGGAAGCTTGGATAATTTTGAAGCAGAAAAGTAGTCTTACAATGTAGTTTTATAAGAACTTCCGAGTTATGTTAGGATTTGGTCAAGGTGCATCAAATTTTTCTCAATCATCTTGCATGTTACGATATGGTACTTGCAAGTTTGGCATATAATTGGCACTACGCTGAGATTTCTCTGAGTAGTTATTTCACCCAAAGTTTTGACTTACTGACGTGGTTTAGGCCCAGCCGGCAGCTGAGCGCCACGCAGCCGCTCACTCACTCCTCCCCCGGTGGGATGGGGAGGAGAACGGAAAAACAACGGCAAAGCCTCGAGGGTTGGGATAAGGGCAGTTTACTGGGACAGCAAGGGAGAGGGAAACAATCAATAACAGTGCTGATAACAGATATTCACAATGGGTGATAACAGAGAACGATTTACCGATCCGATGACTGACTGACCAACCAGACACACAGCCCGTCCCAGAACCGCAGGAAACCGCGCCGCCCCCCCACTGCCCGACTAGCCCCCCTTTTATGGTGAGCATGACGTCCCATGGTATGGAATAGCCCCCGGCCAGCTTGGGTCACCTGTCCTGGCTCCTTGGGAAATTAACTCTATCCTTGCCAGAACCAGGACACTTACTGACCCAGATTATGTCCTCTTAGTCCACCTCTACAATTAAGTTGTGTGATTTCATGGATACTAAGCCATCTGCAACTGTTCCTAATGTGAATGTTGCAGCCTGCTTAACAGTGCAAGGAAACTGAATTCTCTGTGAACTACAGCTTCCGCAGTTACAGTCAACAGTGGATCAGCTGCATAGGAGAATTACTAGCCCCAGTGTATCTAATGTATACCATGGAGAAGCTAAAAATGCTTTCTTCCTTCTGTAAACAAAGTTTCAGAACTCAGTTAAACTTTAGGTCCCTTCCAACCCAAACCATTCTATGATTCTATGATTTTTCAGGGGAAAGTTAGTGCCATTCAAAAAAATCAAAGTTAACCTGGTGTCATAAGTAGGGTTGATAAAATTTTCAAGAGTTAGATTTAATGATTGGGCAGTAACCAGAAGTGTACCACAGCTGTTGACTGACTTACACGGAAATTGTTTTAAGCAGTAAATTGTTGCTATTCCATATTTCTAATAGACACTTTTTGAATTCTTATGAATTTCCTGTAAATGCAATTAGAAACCCAATTAAGGAGCATCAGCTTACCATCAGCAACATTAGTGATTTAAAATGTTGGCCAGCTAGCAAATACAGCTGGAAGCAGTGAATTTCTTTTGTGATCCAGCTCTGGGACTTGTGATAGCACTTTGTGCTTTGGAGCAACCTGCTACTCAGGTATTGATTGTGTACCACCTGTCGTGTGAGAGAAACAACATCGATTCTGTAATTCTGTCTCTGGGTCTAGTGTTCTCTGTATTTTTAAAACTGTTTTGGCTTATTTATCTTTCCCAATTTCCAGATTCATAGTTAAAAAAAACCACAAAACAAACCCAAAATCCAAACCTTAACAATTCATTTAAATTCAGCTGAAAGATACTGGATCGTGTGAGGGCCTGTGTGCTGGCTGGTTGTATGACAACAGAACCCGTTTCCGTGACAGTAGTCATGGAAAAGGTGTCCATGTTATTCAGAGTAATGACACTTAATGTAGTTAAAAGACTGTTTTAGAAGAGGGTAAGGCCAGTGCTACTCCAACTGAAGTGAGAAGCAAGTAATTTAGGCTGGTGAGAAAAAATGCTTTTGGCAATTAAGAGCTTAGCATGACTATGAATGACTGTTTCACAGTTTTAGTACTTTTTTTTCCTTGATTTCTTGATACATTTTTGCAGAAAGATACATTGAAGTCATAAAAGGTATAAATGTAGTTGTAAATATAGTTATGTGTGTCAGAATGCAATAAAGTATACTTGCAAAGTAGCGTAATGCAGTTTCACTCTTCTGTGATTACCTGTGTTTATGTAGTTTTTGTTAGTGTTCCTGTATTTTTGATGAATATTAAGACCTTATGAATAATAAACATAATTTGTACAGAGTACAGACAATAAGCCAGTGCCTCTGAAAACAGGAGAAGATGAAGATTACATGTTGGCCTTAAAACAAGATCTTAGAGGAACTATGAAAAAAATGCCATATTTTTTGGCAGTAGAAGAAGATCGTGAAGGTTTGTTTGTGTGCTTTTTATTTTTATTTATATCTTGAGTAGTTATTATTCTATGAAGGACGATGTAATGAGATGCATGTGTTGAAGATGTATTTTATACTGATAATGAGGAATTAGAATTGGCAGCTTAAGATAATAGGAAATTTTTCTGCTTTTACAATCATTGAAGTTGTAGGTCACACCTACAAGTGTTGTAACTGGAAAGCAACTACTGCATGAAAAAGAGTGGTATCAAACATCTATTCCGTTTGGTATACAGTAAGAAATATTTAGACCAACTATACGCAGTCTTTTCAATTATATGCTAACCAATTCAAGTGAAATAGGCATTTGTACATGTTAAAATACCCTAAAAATTTTGCATTGGAGTAAAGAAATCTGCTACTACTGTTGAAATTGAGCTTCCATTTTAATTGTGTAAAGACATACTTAAAATGATCAATGCTATATTTAATAGCTAGGCATTCTAAAAGATACTATTTTTTTCCCCCTAAGTCCATTCAGGAAGAATCAGTAAGTATTACTGACAAGTCACCTGAAATATGAAGATTGAGATGAGGACAAGTGATTTACTGTGGTTTGCATCAGAAGCAGAGGTGGATTAGAAGCCAAAGCTCGATCTTATTCTACTTGACCTAAGAAAGACTTTTACTTATATGTAATTAAAAATTAACCACTTTGTTATTGTTCGATAATAATAAATGCTCTGCGATACTTTACATCCAGTCATACATCACTATACTGTTAAATCCAAGCTTCCTGGTCAGAAAACTGAGCTAGTGGGAAGGAAGGGAAGGGGAACAGGGTAGGAAGACTTTAATGTCTGTTTACCTTGCTGTGGGGGTATTGTAAATCCAGCAGCCACAGGAGGTTATTACTGTGAGGAGTGCTTGTTTCTGTTTGTGATTTTTGTCTAGTTCTATCATCCTCCTGAGTGCTTGTTCTGAATGGTATAAATGGCAAGTGCTGTTACAAGAAAACAGGAAATGCAACACATTATGTGTCAGACCGTAGGCCCAATCAATGCAAAAGGCAGTCACTAAAAAGCTTTATAAAAATGTTTAAGAAATCCAAAGTGGCCAAACACTGGATAATCTTTTCCTTGCTATCTTGTGCTGATTTTGAATTATGAGAGCTGACTTGAACTCTAAAATGTGAGGTTTAATTTCCACCCCAAAACCATCAGAATATTTTCTGGCTGAATATTCATGATGTCAACAGGATACAAGCACATAGTCCAGTCCCCTCTGAATTTTTGGTAACTTTTGTTCGTGGTGTAGTGGTGAATTCTAGAGATTTCTGAGACTGCGTGCAATTAATTTTTTTTTTTTTAATTAGCCTTTGACTGTAACACCAATTAACACACCTTACTGATTGTCCACTTGTTCTTGTACTAAAGCACTGTTTAAAATGGAGCAGCACTCTGCAGTACGAGCAGTGAACACACTGCCAACCAGACGTTGTGGCTCACAAAAGGCAGAGTATTTCCTCTGACCTGCAGCTGGAGCCCAGCAGTCACCAGGACGCAGCAGGCAGCTGTAGTGCAGCACAAGCACAGCCCAGGGTGGACCCTGATGGTGCGGCCAGGTAAAACCTTGGTTACGAGGCAAGGAGAACAGATCTGATCTTCATTTCCAGATCCTTTTGGAATGGCAGAAGAATTCCAAATCAGTCTTTTATCGCATCTCCTCTTTCATCTTCTGAGTAAACAAATTTCTATCTCTTTGGATTCTCATCTCATCAGAAGCTTGCCGTGCTCTTGATCTTTGTCAGGCTTGAAGTTTGCTATTTCCGTTTGAGGCACAAAAAAGGAAACTGCTATGCCTGAGAGCCCTTCAGGGTTATTTCCAAGGAACCAGCCACTTTATGAGAATGTATTGTCTCTTTTCCAACTTTGCCTCACGTGATCATTCTCACTGTTCACCTCAAAATAGTCTTTGTTTCTGCAGCCTTCTTACGGAGATCTCTTTTCTGCTACTGAGTGTGCTTCTTAGTAGAACTGCCAGCTTTGAAAGCAATTACTTCACCAAAAAATGGCAGTTGCAGGGAAATCAGGTAGACAGCCACTTATAGATTCAAATAATGTTTCAAATGTTCTCCTCATCTCCCCAGGGGTAAGTTGGTAACTTGAGGTAACTTTTTGCTGAACTTTAGTAGTACACAAATGCCTCATCTGAGGGATGGGGTATAATCACATCAGCGGTGGTCTGCAGCTTCAAAAGCCTGCTTTCATCTCGGTGACAATATGCAGTTGTCTCTGGGACTGCATTAAGTTGCAGAAGTGGCCTAGCTTCAAGAAAATTGCTTTCTTCCCCCAGGGTAGATTATTTTTAACTGATCTTTTCTGTTATCTGGTTTACAGCCCTTTGCTCTTCTGTATTTCATCAGAACATCTGGTAGGACTAAGAGTGAGGCAGGAGAGGGACTGTGGGCAGGAACTTCTTAAATTGGCTTTGCTAAAAGTGGAAATGGATTGTATTTAACCCTCGGCACAACATCTGTGAGCCAAATGGTCCTTTGAAGTGTAAGAATGGAAACATTTTAATTAATTAGGACATAGCTATCTTTCATTATTCAGGTAGTAAATTAAAGCCACATCTAATACTACCTGGCAATTTTGATGGGTTAATGTGCCATATAGAATAGATTTTCATCATTCGTTTCAACACTCATTTGAGTAGCAGGCAGATTCTATAGTAAGTTCTCTATTTTCCTCACTTCATAATCCGTGAATCATTCATATTTTCCCTGTAGGTATATCTGCTATGACTGAGTGACTGTCACCTTGGCAGTGGTTTAGAATTAATTCATTAGCTGTGAGTGGTGAGAGTCAGTCAGATGTACTTTTTTACTGATGAGATCAGCAATTAATTCTTCACTAAAGAGTATCGAGCTGAAATCAAAACTACTAGTTTCTTTCCTTCTCTGTTCTGACAGTTTCCTAAAGCATCTGTGAAGGCCATCTACATTAAATGCCCCTTGGGACACTGTCATTTTAAATGTGAACTCTTTGTTGCACAGTTTTAAGTAGGTCTTCTGCTTGCCATCATCATAACTAAGTGTAAAATTGAGCTTCATTTCTGATGTCTTCCTTCTCCTCTCCTTTTCTCTGGTGAGTACGTTAGAAGTCTTGGACTGCAAAGGTCACAGGCTGTCTTTGTGACCATTTTCTGTACAATACCCACAAAAATTATCACTGTTTGAGTAGTGAATTATTAGTGCAATCAGAATCGGTAATTTTGCATTAAGCAGATTTTGCAATTGGGCATGGTAATTTGGTATGAAAAATGGGACTGATTTAAAAATACTTCAGTTTTGATATTGCTTTTGTCATTAGGGATTGTACAAGAGGTTTTTTTGCAGTATAAATGGATGTACTTACTGTGTATAACTACTGTATTATTTACAGTGCATTTCTCAGTGTAGTTCTTGTGCCTGGAAAGAGGTTAAATGGCCTAAAATGTGTTGCTGCTGTCTAGGCGACATCTCTGTTGCACTGCAAAGCTTTGCCATTGCAGAAGTACTTAAAGTCTTGGGAGTTGATCATGATCAGTCTGCGACACGGCCTTCTGACACCTGGGAATTCTGGATACTCTTTATGATTAGCACAGTGGTGATAAATGTCACAGTCGGTTTGTAGCAAAGGTTTGCTTGTGAAACTGTTGAACAGTAGAAGTGTTCATTTGATGTTTCAACCTAGTTTCCATGACTATATCTGCGTTTTATGTTTTCATGCTTTCCAAGGATAGAAGTATAAATTATAATAATTTTGGAGGGTTTTTTTGGGGGAGTGTTTTGATTGATACCCCAAAAATGCAAAACAATATTCAAGATTTTTGCCTTTTTTTTGAGAGATATAAAATTCAGGTCTTGCAAGTACTTAGCAAATGATTAGTTCTGGGAATTGTCATGAGAACTATTCAAAGTAGTGACATTAAACTGTTTTTTAAGTGTTTGACAACAGCACAAAAAAGTGTTCAATGTGGGATTAAAAAACACACTGTATGCTGAGTTACAGGAAAATATGAAGGACAGTGTCTGGATTGCCTTTTTATTTAATTTAATTCAATAAATCTTTGTATCCTTCTTTATAGTAATTGAGAGGTACAGTAAAAAGTACCAGGACAATGAAAAGGAGCATGCAGCATGGACCCCAGGTAACATCTGAGATTATCAAAGGCTAATTCTTTATTAACTTGTGAAATGTTCTTCTCCTTTAAATGTTTGATTTATTTTTTTTCAAGCAATGAAAAAGTACGCAAATCCTTACCAATTCATGTATTCTTTGTTGAGGGTTATGACCTTTGCGTGTTTCCAGATCAAGGCAAAGTATCGTTTTGTCAAAAAAAAAACCCCCACCCAAACCCCAAAACCCCCTGATTTTATTTATTTACTTTCATCAGTTGAAACAATTGATTTGTAGTGAAAATGCAAGCTTTAGTTCTCACTCTAGCTTTCATTCTCCCCTTACTCACCATGCAGATACTAGTTTTGAACTGGGAGCAAACATTGATGTAACTAAATATACAACGGCCTGATTTTGTGAACAGTCACAGGTAGCTGGGTTTTATAACATTAAGCTTCAACTGCCATATCTGTGTAGCTCACTACTGCAAACTTAATTACAGAATGTAAATTGAAGGCCATGTGGGCCACTGGAAGGGCTGACTTTTGTCTCTTTGGGGCAGATAACAGTTGTCATTTAGTGAGTGAAATGCCATTCCTTGCTCTAGTTCCTCAATTTAAAGTACAGCTAGAATTCCATAAAATTGTTGTGTGCTAAAACTTTTAGGCACACACATGTAACTAGGATCAAGCACAACAGCGGCCCCTACCTTTCCTTGGTGGGTGGCAGGGGGAGGATTACTGCTGTAAATCACCATTCATATATATTAAAGCTCTTTTCTGTACAGACTGGAGAAGACTGCCAAGAGAGATGAAGCCAAAGAAAAAGACCAGAAAAGGTATATTATCTGTTTTTAAGAAGCATTTTCGTACACACTAGTTGAGTGATAGAAGACATACTGGAGCTGGTTAGGGGGAAAAAATGGTAGAAATATTAATTAGTCTGAATAATCAGGGCTTTTGGCAGATTTTTTCTCATGAATTCACTAGTCTGCCTGTCTTTGCTTCTGTAGTATGTTTTAACTCACTGGAACAGATTTATCGTCTTTTCCTGCCTTTCATATTGATATACCATATTAACATATGAGATATGTAACAGTGAAAGATTAAAAAAACCCACAAAACTTTTTGTTTTGAAAGTTTGTATCTTTAGTTAACACTCATCATTCTATTCACTGAATAGCTGGCTGTTCAGATTTCCTTTATATTTTAGGTTTCTCAATTATCTTGTTCATGATTTGGTTGACTTTTGCATTTTTTTAAGCCTTTTATATGTGATTTAATGTAGGTTATTTTCTATTTTCCCTGGTTTTACTTTTTTTGTTTATTTTCAGCTTTCTTCTGCAGAATTGTGAACCAGATCCTTCAACAGCAGTTGGAGCTGGTATTGGTTATTCTTACAGGAAAAAAAACTTTATTACACAGCATCATACGTGTATTTGTTTTTCAAAGTGTTTTCTAGTATGCATGACTGTTATTTTAAGTTCTCTGTAGAAGTCTGTTGCTCTGTTGATGTGAAATAACACTTGGCCTCCTGTATCTAGCTGTCTGTTACATACAGTTGTTTACTTTCTTGTTCACTTTGTCCAAGTCCTTCATGTGTCATTTTTCAGTTCAAGGATAAAACAGAAAAAAGGGAATGTGCAGTAGTCATGGAGTCTGCCTCAGCTAGAAGCTTTGTTCCTTTTAAGAGTGTCATTGAGAACCATGGTACTACCGGTAGACTGCAAGATTCAACTGAAAATTAAACACTTATTTGCAAAATCTCTAAAGATTAAACCAGTACACACCTACCTTTTTTTTTTTTTCCCCGAAAGAACGAGCTGCATTGGCTTTTATAAGCCTATATGCAATAATTAGCTCTGTAAAATCCAATGAATTCATAAATGCTGATTTATTATTCCTTGTTACAATAATGTGATTATCATAAATAGAGAATCACTGCTTACTGTGGGGATTTTTCCTCTTTCTTTTGTACCAGTTTCTCTATTTGCTCTTAAAAGTACATTTTCTTAATTGTTGTGATGGCAAAGATCAGCTGACCATCAGAATTTGATTGGAATAAAAAAAATAGGTTTCTCTAAAGGCAAAAATCATGGTTTATTTTTTTGGGGGAATCCTGAAGATACAGAGGCCAATACAAAAGTCATGTGATTCCAGAGGTTTGTAAATAGCTGATCAGGGACACATTAGCCCTTCTGGTACATATCCTTGTTGTATTTTGAGGACAGCTATCTTAGGTGACACTTTATAACTGAGTGGAACAAAGGTGAGGGAGTCAAGTGAATCTGCACCAAAAAAATCAAAGAGGCTTCGTACCATTCTACTGTTGTAGATCGCAGGAGTGGTTTTGTGATCACTACACAGTTACATGTACAGGGACGACTTCATTTTTACACACATCTCCCTACCCCTTTCTCATTTCCCCAAATGTTTTAACCCAAGATATGACCGCCTGCCTTCTTAGTGACAAAACTTTGGGTAGAATTCTACATCTCTCCAACACTTACCTGGGCTGTGGACCACAGTATCCTAGATACCAACAGGGCATGACACAAAAAACAAACAAAAACCAAAAAAAACCCCAAACCGTTGGTGGGTTTCAGCTCTTGTAGGCCAGCTATATGCATATGTATGTAGCAATCAGATGTATGCATTTAAGCCCGAGTACTGCTAGAACAGATATTTGGAAGATTAGATTGTATTCTATTGCACCTCTAAGCTACATGGATGTAAGGAGCTGTTTTGCTTGAAGTTCTAGTGACAATGGGTCGGTGTCTCTGTAATTTTATGGTAGATTCCAAAGACACCCAGCATTTAAGCAGAAGATCTTGCATGTCTGTTTTCATTTCCAGGCTGTTTGTTCTATAGACATTATCTCTAAAAGCCTGCAGTGGTTTGTGCAGAAATGATAATTTTGTGTTGCACTTTCCACTTGTTTTCTGTAAAAGCCTACTTCATTCTGGATGTGTTTGCTTTGACACTGTTCATATGTTATTACAGAACAGCTTGACTCCCTTCAGCTCTGTCCAGTGCTTTTGTCACGTAATCCCTTCCTAGGCAAAACACTGAAATGAACTGAATGTTATTTATGACAAATGCTTTTGACAAAATACAGCTGTCTTCTTAGCAGCTCTTAGTGTTCTGCTTCCTTAAGTATTAGCCAGATAAAATACATAACTGCATTGGGTTACTGTCTGCTTCAGAAAAGGTATCCCCTTCATCAATGCATGCTATTTTTCTTTCTGATACCGCTTAGTGCAGCCTAAGTGCGTAGGTGCAAGTTACGTAAGCTAGCTTGTCTGAAGCTACCTTGTCCATCAGAAGCTATGTAGCTACACCACTACGGCATTTTATGCAGGCAGTTTTACCCTGCTGAGAAGAGCTCATCTGTGTTAGGTACAGCCCTGTGCTCTAAGTTTTATGTGATCGTGCTAGATACAGCACAAGAGTTGAAAGACAGTTGCCCTGTGGAAACGGGTCATCTCACAGAGCTCTCTAAATGCTGTAACTTCTGTTACTCCAGAGCTCTTTGTTCCTCCTCATCTGCTGGTCAAACTACACTCCTGGAATTGGGGAACCTTAGTTTAGGGTGCTGTGATTCAGGTAGCTCTTACCTGGGTATAAGGAATGCTATTTTTTACCTTCGCTCCACCATATATTTAAGTAGCATGATGAGGTTGGATTGTAGGGAGTCAATTGATAAAGATAGTGTTCATGAATTGAGGGATTAGTTGAAGATACACACTGTGGACTCGTTAGATGAGAGCAAACTGTGGCCCAAGGGCCATCTAGCTGCAGTAACCATGCCTACTGTGTTGGAGCTAACAAACTCTGCTATATCTGCCTTTTTTTGTCTATCTATCTGAAGCTGTCGTTAATGTGTTGCATAAATTAATAACATTAATGAGTTTTTATCTTTCCAAGATGATGAAAAATAACAATTTAGATTTTGTTCTAGTTTCATTAACATACCGTGAGTATGTAAGTGAAAAGTATTTTGTGAAGTGAATTTCAGACAGGCCCTATAGGCATCACTTACATAAATTGGGCATTTACACCTCCATGAATGATGTGCTCAAAGTCTAAAGTAATTTTAATACAGATGGTATCGGATTTCCATGATATGACATTACTCAAGATGTAAGCTCTTAAGAGCAAGTGTAACGCGAATTTGTGTTCTTCCATATTACAAAAATAATAGTGATGTGTTTTATTTCAGCAGGTGCAAAACCAAAAAAGGCAAAAAGCTCTGAGCCTAAAAGTAATCTGGATGTGTTGAAAAAAATTGAGGTAAGACATGCATAGTCTTTCTAAATTGTACACTAGAAATTGCTGAAGGAAAATGAAACATTTAGTATGTTTTTTGGTACAAATAGAATAACTAGAGCAGCCTTTTTCTGGCCTTGTCTCGTTACTGTGACAAACCACTGTTCTGCGGAGTGGTGGCACAAGGGAGAGGATAAGGATGAGCCTGGCTGTGCAGAAGATATTTCCTTTGCTCCAGTTTGAACACAACAACCAGTTGTTCTTCACTAGGTAGCGATATAGCCTAATAGTGAACAGCAGAGCTACTGTTAGAGCTTACTGAAGGAGGAATTGGTGCCAGAGCTTTTAAATCTACTGCTGTTTCGCCAATCTACTGATGTTGGAAATTAAACAGTAAGTTGAGAGGGAAGATATATACAGAAAGAGAAACTTGGCAAGAAAGTGACCTCAGTTTGGAGATGACTACCCATGATGTGGGAATGGGAAGCTTAAAGGTGAAAGAGTCTTGTATTTTTTCTCTTGGTGATCCATCAGTTGTTTGGTGCAGATACATTATTATATACAGTATTGGTATTGCTTTATCAAGTATCACATGGCCCTGTACTGTCAGTTATTTTAACAGTGGATGGTAACACAAGACACACTTTTTTAGACTTCAGTGGCTAACACTTGATCAAATAAGTCCTTATGAAGTTCTCACAGTTCACATCATGGTGTTTTAAATGTTGATGAAAAAACATTTCCACAGCATTGTTTTGCTAGTTGTCTTGCTGTTAACTGCAGCATAACATTTTGGTAGCATGGAGGATGTGCTGTTGCTGTAACATGGGATTACCTTGTAAAGGAGATATTGCCTTATGACAGGAGTTGGAAAAAAAGGATGATGAAGAAAAATCTGAAGATGAGAAAGACCAAACAAAAGACAAAGAAGGTGAAGATGATGAAGAAGCAGAAGAACCAGAGGAATACGATGAAGAAGAGCATGAAGAGGTATAATAGTTTTCCTATTTACACAAAGTCAGATACAACTCATTGAGTAGTGTGTTGGCCATCAGCCAAAGAAACGTCCCTAGCTTCTCTGATGCTGAGGGGGGGTTGTAGTGGAAGGCATTATTATTACATCAGTTTTCCTGGTTGTGTTGTAGTTCATTAAAGTGGGTGTTTTGGATTTGTTACTCCCAAAGAGCTCTGAAAAAAGGTCTTGCAAACAGGAACGTGTCTTGCCACAACCAATACATACAATTACTCATTTTCATCACTAAAACAGTGATGCCTCTTCTTTCACAGATTTCAGAATTTCATTACAGTATTTTCCTTTTTCTTTCCCAAGAAAAAAGGAAAGAAAAAACTCCTGTTACTGTTTCAAAACATGGGCACTCAAGTACAGTTTAAAGCATGTTTCTTTCATAAATTGTCTCCTCCACAGAGATTTTTTTTCCCCTTTTGTTTAGGAAAATGACTACATTTCTTCGTATTTTGAAGATGGAGATGACTTTGGTGCTGGCAGTGATGACAATATGGATGAAGCAACGTATTAGCTATTGTTGCTAGGTGGTATACTGCTCAAGCCTCATACTACTTGAAGTCTAATTCTGGAGGTAGTCTGAGTACCAACAGAACTAACGGTTTAGCGTGGTTGGTTTTAAGTACACTCTCAAAAAAATGTTGGAAAATTCTTTTTAATTGTAGTATGCTGTAAAACAGGATATAGGATTCTTTGTTTTGTTCTTTTGCCAAATGTTTTGCAGACATGCGCCTTTTTAAGGTTCTGTGGAATCCCTACTGATGGAGTAAGCTATATGCTATTGTATTGCCTCTGCACAGAAAAAGAATGTATGCATTTCAATTGAAATTGTGCCTAAGCATTTGCACTAGTCTGTTCTATGCTTTAGCAGTCAAATCTTGAAAATAATAATTAAGTTCTTGATGACTGCAGCAAAAAGAGAGATACGGCCTTTATGGACATAAGCTGCTCATATTTGGCAGCTGACTTCTCTGAAGGAATTTATGTAACTTCTGAATTCAGGTGACTGAAAATAATTGACCACTAAGCACTTTAATATAAACTGACTTGAAAGGGTCTTAGTAATACAGACAAACGTAGACATAATGAGAGTACTTTGAAGAGCTGTTATTCTAGTTAAAAGAAATTATTTTTAGTATTTGGTAAGAAAGGACTGTAATATTTAATAATGTTATATCTATGAATCAGTATAAGTAATAATTAAGGGTAATTTAATTTAGAAAGAATACATGGCAGAATTTAAGATTGAGAAATTATGGAATCCTAGTTTTCACCAGTGGCACACAGATTAGTGACAGGAATTTCAGTCCTTTGCCTGTTTCTCCACCTATTAAGGTGATATTAACTTTCCTACCTCACAGAGCTGTTAAGTGAGACAGCAGATGATAGCTATCCATGTAATTGTTAATGCGTTTATTTACTTTCATACAGAACAAACAAGACAGAAACTGAACAGACAGCAACTCAATACAAAACAAACCCCAAAAATGTAGGAGAATGTGGTGAAGTGTTTTGAAGCATGAGATTTTAATTAGGAAAAGAGGACAAGAACGCTGAGAATAGCAAAACCAGCATGTTTGGAAACATTAGTTTTATTTAAGAACCAACAGCTGAAGTGTGGAAAATTTACTCCTGAGATCAGAAACTTGAGGAAATGACACAGCATTCTTGGTGTCCTATTGTCCTTTGATGATACAAAATATTATTGGTCAGTGTTAATCAGTGTTATTATATTACTGTTTATCAGGGGTTTGGGTTTCTTTTCGCCACTTTTAAAAAAAAAAATCTGTTCCTGGTAACTAGTGGTGTTATCAGGTCTGATGAAAGAACAATTTTAAAACAAACCCAGTTATTTTATCAGCAGAAGAAATTACGGAAGTTTTTCTTGCTAGTTTGGCTTTTTGTCAAGCAGAACTTTACCTCAGTGCTGACTGGAAAACAGTACTGCATTATTCTATGAACTTCTGTATGCAATAAGAATTTGTTCCTTAACGTGTAGCTTTCAAGTGTTCTGATAAAATTCGTATCAGATGTAAAGGAAGTTAAAATGCTATGCAGGTCACACCTCAGAGGTACACCAGTTTTATTTTGAAGTGTTCATACCTATACAAATAACATTTAATAAACATTCTGCTGCATTGCATAGGAAATGTATTCCGTCTGATCATTTTTTTTTTAACATCACACATGCTAGCAGTTTCTTGAACAGTGGTGCCTGTTTCTTGGATGTGATATACACGAGGAAGACAGAAGATGTTGTGAATGAGGTAAGCGTGTTGAAAATTAAATTTGCTTGCCTCAAGTATACCTACTAGCTGTTCCCCCCATGCAAGGTAAACAGGGAGACTCTTACATGTGGAAATGCAAATAAATGGCTTTTGCCAAACTAGAACTAGAGAATCAACACTGTAAAAGCATTACTGCCCGAGTTACAGTCTGGTCACAAGCTGTGGCTGGCCTGAACAGGTACAGTACCTTACTCTGTAGCAGACACAAATTCTTGGGGACCTATGACTTTCTTCCTTCACCATATTGCTAATGGGAGAGACGACTGCCTCTCTGCTGTTGAGAAATATTACTCTGCCGTTAAGTCAGGTCTTTTTGAGACCTTTAAAAGCTGAACTGTGGACACATCTGTCCTCCAAAGGGAACCACAGTCAGAGTAGACTCTCTGGGACTACTTTAACAATGGCAAGGGAGGGCAACGCTTATGAACGCGTTGAGTTCTGCAATGATACAGCTCTGTGCCAAGGTACTTCTGAAATGAAATGAGATTGTGCTGTTCCAGAGGCGTAACACTTGCAGCTGTTTTTATAAGCTGATTTTCCAATTGCTTATAATTTATTGCAAGACCATAATGCTGATAAAACTTAGGCCATTTTTTGGGTCTCAGCAAACTTCGGGTTTGGACAGGCATGTATTTAACACCTATCTTAATAGCATAGCAGAACATTGCTACTTCATACAAGAAGGCACTGCTTTCAGTGTGTAGGGAGATCACTATCGAAGAACTTCACTGATCCCTACCTTTTCATGCCTATTTCTTAATCCTCATTTCACAAGACTAACAAGTTCTCAGAATTTTATGCAGAAAATTTCCAAGTTCTGTAAGGCATGCACAGGATAAACCATTATGGGTGCAGTTATGGTATGCTAGATGTGAATGCTGTATGCAGCTGCTGCCAACAAAATATTTGTTGGCCAAGGATACATAAAAACTAGCTGAAATACAAGTAGCAGACTCCTGTGGTAAAAGACACAAAGTATATAGAGCTAAGAATACATTACATGCACCACTTTCACTGCAGTCTAAATAAAATCTTTATTTAATATGTATTATTTATGTTCTTCTAAAAGCAGAGGAGCAGAAGTATTTAAAATAAGACTTGTGTCCTCATTCAGGATTATTTTACAAAGTTATATTTTCAGCCTTAATAAGATAGTTATACAAAGACTATTTGTGACAGCATACTCCAAAATATAGCAGATTTAAAGCATTTACATTTTATGTCATCCAACAGTGCAATATGCACTTAAATTTAAAACCAACTTCCTGATCAACAATGTGTTGTAATTAATCCAAAACACGATTTACCACTCAGTTGTTTGTGGTTGTTTTTTGGGTTTTTTTTAAACAAGTCAGTTTGTAAAAGACTAACTTTACAGATGTTAACTTAAATCAGATTTAAGTTCCACACAGAGTAGTTACGCTGTTTATTCAAGGCGGATATGTCATGAGACCTCCTGTATCTTCTGATAAAGTTAACTCACTATATTAAAAATACACTGTATGAAATATGCTACATAATAAAATAGTAAAAACATGCTCAGCTCTTGGTTTGAGTATAATAGTCCAATGAAACGGCTATCCCTTTGTGTTTTTGTAGACTGCTTACCCTAAGGTAAATACTCAAGCCCACTGGGCTTGAATCAGTGACCGTAAGCCACAGGCCTTCCAACACTGTAAAAGCCCAAAGCCTGAGATACACTAGAGAACTATTCAGCTGTACCACCACAGGACAAAAAGCTGTAGTTAACCACCAGTCTCTTTACTTGCACATCAACAGGACGGAGACCCTCCTGACTGAGTCAAACCACAACTGAAATAAGTTCAATTCTGTACCGATGGCAATTTAATACCCATCAGTTCAGGTACATGCAGTGAATCAGGCTTATGTTGCATGATCACAATAGCTAATTTCATGTTCTTTGACAATTGTATAAGTAATGGCAGGATAAAGTACTAAAATTGGTGAGGTTTCAGGAACAGAATGAAGCAGGAAAAAAGCAAACCAGCAAATAAGCTTGCAGCAAAAACCTGACACATTACGTACCAAGTTTCAGTCCTACACAGAAAACATTTGTCTTAAGATGCAAAGCTCTGTTGTCTGGTGTAGAGGAAGTCACCTCTTAAAGTTTTAGCCATAGAATCTGTATCATTTTAGCCACTGTGAATTATTTTGCAATGCCATTTTTCATACAGCCTTAGTGAGAACTGGTACTTTGGTATTCATGCTTGTGTTACTGGCATATTCTTTTAATGGGAAGAACTACTATTTAAGATCTCTGAAAGCAAGTGTTACATGAAACGTGAAGTTCATGCCTGCTTGCAATCCCTCTTCTAGTGTGGAAATTCTTGAGTAGTCACACCATCTCCACAGACACCACTTTGATCAAAGGGTTCAAGAGCCACAGATCATAGTTCACAGATCCACCTGTACAGCATTTCCCTTCAGGCTTTGGACTGCTTCAATTTCAGTATAATACATTAAAAGTTACCCAATTCATGTTGTTACGCTTAGCATGCCAGCGAAGAATATTTGCCCCACTTCTTGGGGCAATAGGTGCCCCAAGAATAAATGGGGCATGAGTCTTCACTTTAAAAATTTAAGTTGATAAAGCACTTTGGAATACCTCCAATACTTAAGAAACATTCACTTTATCAAAATTTTTATACTGTATATACTTAGTGAAGACGCTGAAAGGAAAGCTTATAATAGTAGTTTAAAGGATAGTGATATTTTTCCGTATCTCTCTTTACATGTCCTATTCAAGTCAGTTACCTTGGGTTTTGGTAACAAATGGTACCTTGAACAGGGCAATGGAAATCTTACTCCACAAGGCAAATATAACAGAAAAATTATAGGCAGCATCTCAGTTTTTATTTAAAAATATTCTGAGTACACAAGTACCTCCTTTTTATGTAGGAAGACTCCAGGTATTGTTTTTTGTTTATCTTGTAGCATTTTCAGGTAGGGAAGAAAGAAGGGAAAACCAAGATTGTTCATGAAATCCCAAGTGAAACATTCAAGAACAGAGTGCTTGATGAATACACTACAACGTAAAGAACAAGTCTGAAGCTGCAGCTGGTCTATTCTGCTGCAATTTAAATTCCTTGCTAGCAGCCATTAAATCTAATCTGAAGTGTTCCAGGAGATTTCAGGAAAAAGTTAGTGTTTGAGGTTCATGGGCACACGACCATTAGCATGCTTAGTACCCTCATGACTGCTGTCTGAAGAATCAGTTGGTCCTGAATTGAGATTAACTGGAGGGGGGGAAAAAATCCACTAGCCTAAAATAAAGACTACTGAAGCAGTCACAGCAAGGCGCCACACATCTGCACTCCTCTCATTCTATACCCAGCTGACCAGAGAAGTGCAATCCAGTCCAGTTTTCAGTAGGATACCACAGAAAGATATGAAGTTTCAGCAAGACACTCTCAACTGGACCATGCTGAATATCACAGTATCACATACATAGAAAACAAATTATCCTACTGCCTGTGCTGAAAAGTACTAAAGAATGAGTTGACCACAGGCACAAGATTTGAAGATTGCAGCTTAAGTATTAGCTACTGCCTCTATAAAAGTAATTTTTAAAAAAAAGAACTTCATAGTGGCAATTAATTATGGAATGATTGGCATTTAAAAAAAAGAAATTTGTAAGAAAGATAAAATTATGAGAAAGCAGTTTTAACTGACAGCTGTAAACGTGATATTAAAATGTCAAGTGTGCTATGCATTCTATAAATACTTCGTTTAAAAGTTAGATATCCCCAAATGCCCATTTTAGGGCTGTAAAACATACAGTGAGATTCCTCATGTTAGTTCAAACTACATTTTTTCACCTCATTATTAATTAAAAAAACATATGCCTATTAAAATAGAAAAAAGTGCAAAACTTCAGAGACAACTTTATACCTTAATTTATATCCCAATCTTGCATTAAAATCGCCTGTCTGAGACATGTTCAGAGATTACACGATCCACAGAAATATCCTTTACTGGAACAGTGCCCATAAAGGCAAGTCACACATCAGTACGCATTTTCTCTGCCTTCCAGATGCATTTTGCATTCTGTGGTTTCCCCTTTATCTAATGCTATGTTATGTGTCCATGAATAACAGCCACCTGTGGTTTTCCATTGTTAAGGCTGAAGGTTTCCTTGATTATCAACATTTATAATATTCGCTGGATTTATTCCATTTTCTATTTGTTTCTGATGCGATGCTGCTGTGACAAACAAATGGGAAGATTCCATTGTAGAATGGTGACTGACATCTGCTTTCACTAGAACTTCATAGTACAGGAGATAAAAAACTGGAGTTACTATGCCAATAATCAACATAATCACCACGGCTGTCCACCATCCTATACCCCAATCTGCTCCATAGTAAGGATCCTTGCATTTTTTAGTTTTACCATCAGTTTCAAAACAGATCTGTTGGGCTGCTAAGGCAGAAACAACTTCATTAAGATTCTCTCTCTTTGTATCGTTACACTTCACTATTTCTTCTATATCTCGATCCACTTCTTTTAAGAAGTTGCCAACAGTCTCGGTAGCAGAGAATTTATCAGGTGACATTTCCTGCACTTCTGGGGAACAGTGAGCAGGCCGAAGGACTGGTCTTCCTTTTGGAGAGACATGGGTTTCGGTTAATACGCTGAACTTTTTCACTGGGATTTTGATAGACCTCAGGGCAAAAAAATCTTGATCATTGATAAGATTGTTAACTCTCTTGATATCTGCAACCTAAAAATAAAAACAACAGTTTAAGTATCAAAGCCCCATTGAACCGGAACTCTTAAAATTTAAGAGTACTACATCCTTGAGAAATAGAATTCTTCCCTAATGAAACAATAAGAGGGCCTTTGTTTTGTTTTGCTTTTTTGTTTTGTTTTGCTTTGCTTTTTAAACCCATACCCATTCAAACAGTATGAAGTGAGAAGAGGTCAAAGACCAGATCTGAACAATGTTTAAGCAGGAAGGCCATTACCAGGTAACAAACCTCCTCACTTCAGATAAGAGGACTGAAGTCACTTCCTGCGTATATATTCATTTAATGTAACATTCATCTATCAGTGGCAACTATCTCTGTGAAATAAATTGGGACTCAATGTCACCTCAGTGTTTTCAAATTAAGTAAACTGCAGCGAGTTCCTAATGAAATTGAAAACTTCTGAGTGAGAAATATTAAAAATTACAAGCTTCCAAATCATTTAGTCACAGATATGGTTTGGATACTCTTTCTGCCTCTGGGGGCTAAGGCAGAAGCCAACCATAACTTAAAACTTCCCTCATCAAGTCAGCTCTCCCCTTTTCCTATTCTTGCCCAAAATGAATCTCATTTTGGTCTCATTAAGTTTAGATTTTAAGGCTAACATGAAATAGTCTGCAAGGATTTAAGTGCCCTTGGAGAATTAGCAGCTTCATTTGGAGACAGTAACTCCCTCAATGTAGGGGGCAGAGCCACAAACCTTACCATAACGAAGTACTTACAAATCAGTCTTCCAACACCTGGTAAGCACACAGGAGTTGTGCCCATTTTAAGATGTGCAGTAACTGAGTTCAGATCCTTCCTGTCCTCACTGGGAGGACACCACCTCAGGAGAAGTGACAGAGGGAAAACAAGACCCTTGTTCCTCTGACTGCTCTGCTTACAACACAGATGCGGCCAGAAAAAGTTGGGGCGATCAGTGCCTACTGCCTGCACTGGCCTTGTAACATGAAAAAGCGCTTCTATTCCTCTGACAATGTATTTGTTATGTGTTGAATAAATCAGATGAGCATAAAAGACTGCAAAATGCAGCTTTTACTCCAGTGATTAGCAAGTTATGCTTTCTGCCTAAAGCCCTGGACTGCTCTTCTGCATGAATTTCCAAGAAAGAGCACAACTCAGTGATCTTTTACTTCTTATTTGAGGCCTGATCTAGTAAGCCTGCTCCAAATAACTAATTGCCGTGGGTTCTGAAGCCAAGAATTCCTTAATGAGGCTAAGGTCTGTCATGATTATGAAACAGTCATGTCCAGACTTTGGTACCTAAGCTCACAACAGGAGGCTCCCAATTCTGTTTGTGCCTGAAGAATTAGATGACAGCAAATTCTGTAAATACAGGTTTTGAATTTGACCCCTTGAAAACTGCACAATTATTAGTCCATCCACCAATGCGCATGGCTGATTTCATTTTGAACTTGATACGTGCAAAGGCTAACACCAACCGAGACAGAAGCCTCTGCCTTAATTAGTGCTGGCCAGCCAAGAGCACAGGGTAGGAAGGACATTGACCAGACTAATTAAGAACTCTCAGCTAAGAGGAGCGGGGTCTGAGCACCAGAAGGGAACGCTTGGGGCATGTGGGCAGAGCTGCCAAATGCACACATTCGTGCTGATAAACATTGAAGCAACTTCCCAGAATGTAAAAGAAAACTATGATGAGATTTTTTTTTTTCCCCCTTCCTTAATGGAATTACAGCTGCAGGCAAATCTGAAGGTGGTTTGGCAATACCCTCCTCATCACTGACGGGGAAGATGGCCTAAGTAGAGGCGCCCACGTGTGACTGTGCACGAGTGTAAGTTTTACTGTAACGTGTACACTTTGAGACGCAGCGCCACAAGCAAAATCACACATCGATTTCTTACGCTTACATTAGCTTTAAGTGAGAAAGCCTACAGAACTTCAACTCCAGCACACTCTGCGCTGTAACACTAACGCTCCGCCGTCATTTTTCACTTCTGCAGAGCGCGTC